ACATACTTACATACATACATACATACATTATATATATATATATATAATATCTGTATCTATATCTATTTCTATATCTATAACTATATATACACACACACACACACACACACATATATATATACGTCCATGGCACACTATCACAAAACACCCACCTACAGACGCACAAGCACACACACAAATTTACCCAGCAAGAACGAGCCCTCCTGGCACTCTAACCTACACCTGGGCGGGGTGGTTTTCCTCGTACCAAGTCCCTGGGGCGCTCGGCTGGAGAGGTTTGGCGTGGAGGTGCCGGTGGCAATCGACCAGTCGAGTGTGCGCAAAACAGCTTTGTCCAGTGAATAGACAATCTCCGGTCGCACGGCTTTGCCCTCCCCCTGTGACACATAGTTTGTAGCAGCAGAAAGGACATGAGTGTGTTTTCATATGTGGGGAGATGCGGTTGTGTGAACGGTACGGGCTTGCTATGTAATGTAGCTCTCCCATAAATGGATGTAAGGACGGTAAGGCGAGTAGTGTGTTTATCTGCATAGTACAAGCTTGGGAGATCCAGCCTCAAGGTGTCTGTGTTCTCCACCCCAGATACCTCACCACCCATCACAGCAACAGACGCCGCACATACCAACAGCCATACTTGTGCACAAACGCACACACTTAGTCAGACACACCCACTCGACCACACCCGCAGTGCAGATGGTCGCAGATACAGGTCCTGCACACAGCCAACACTCACGGACAACGGAACTTACTGGATCCTTCGTGTAGAGCTCGAGCTTGAAGTCGTCTGTGACCACCAGATACCTCTCCACCCAGCGCTGGAACAACCCGCCGTATCGCATAAACAACCAGCCGCGCTTCCTGGCGCGGATCTCATCCAGATCAGACAGGAACACTTCCCGCCGACCCGCCATGAGCCGTCTCAGTCTGTCAAAGTACGAGTGCACGCATTCGTTCCTGCAGGGGGCAGGGGTGACAGTAACAAGCAAAGATATGGGGGTGCGTGAGTGCGTATATGTTTGCTGCTGCGTTTCAAGTCATATACGTGTTCAAACGCATTCACAAGTAGAGATGGGCGCAGATCGATAGCCCCACACATCTTTCAAAGTACCGAACTTCGCAATAGACAGCCCACGTAGGTAGGCGCGCGAGCTCACACACACAGTAGTATCGTACCTCTGGGCCAGTTGTTCGAATTCATTTTGATCGATGAGACCATTGCCGTCCACATCCGCTTCCCTAAACTCCTCCTCTAACGCATCGGTTTGTACCGGGTTGAGCGAGTCACCCACGATGGCCACAATCATATCGTAGTATGAAGGCTGTGCATAAGTCAATTGGCAGCAGCGAAGGTGTGAGCAAACCATCCAAAATGGCCACAATCACATCTCAGTATGCAGGCTATAGATGGGCGACATTTGAAGCGAGAGAGATATAAAACAAAAGCAATTGAAGGGAGAGTATTATTCTGGAATCATTGAAGCGAGAGAGTAGGCTATGCATGGAAAGCATTTGAAGCGAGAGATACAAATAGAAAGCGAAGGCTATAAATAAGTGAGAGTTATTAACAGAAAATGTTACAAAAGTAAATATTTGAATTGAGAATTACAAAACGATAACATTTGAATTGAGTGGAGTTTAAAATAAATTGCCAGAAACGAAACAGTGGTGGGCGAATCAAACAAGAAAAAACACACAACACAATACCATAGTATGATCAAACCTCTCCTCAGCGCAAAAGCACCAAGGAAGCCCTGTTGTAAATTCGAGAATAACACCAACACAATACACAATCGTCAGCTACCAATACAGATCATACTCGAGCGAGGTATATGTATGGCTACTTACAAAGTCTATGGCACCCTTATCTCCCTTATCGAACAGCCAAAACACCGTGCCTAACCGATCGGACCCAGACGAGCCTATCCTCAGCGCAAGCGCCAGCAGGAAGTCGCGTGTGTTGACTAACCCCTCAGCATTATGGAATGCATTGTATATCTCCGTGGCCAGCTCTATGTCGGGTATTTCGGAATAGTCCATCATGGTTTCTATAAATGTTTCTTTGTCCAGCATAACCTGTGGAGGAGAAGGTGGTGCATGGGAGGGGTGTTCATAGGTACGGTTATACAGACAAAAGTATACCTATATATTATGGATATATACATGTACATATATATATATATATATATACATGTACACACACATA